ACGCGCACATACGGGTGAATTCGCGCTCGTAGACATCCACGGAACGGGGTCCCTGCTTAAGCTCCCAGAAGTCCTTCATCATCTGGGCACGGTGAGCCTCTGGATAATACTTGTCCTTGACTAACGTAACCATCTGGTCCCAAGTCAAGGCATCCCTCTCAGCACGAGGATGAAGTCTCCAATAGTCATTCCACCAAGTCCTAGCATCTCCGGTCATCACGAACGAGGCACAACGGATTTTCACTTCATCAGTGGTGAACAACAGATCAAAAATACTCTCAAGTTGCAGAAGCCATTCAGCCACAGCTTCGGGGCCTTCAACTCCGGTAAACGTCGGAGGATGCATGTTACGGAAATCGATCACGGCTTAGGTAATGGGATCTCTACCCGGAGCATGCTGATGAGGAGGAGGAGGAGGGGGAGGTGGTTGATGTTGATTACCATTGCGGGTTTGACGAGCCATTTCTCTATATAAAAAAAATGAGCCGCAAAGATTTAGCAAAAAATAAAAGAAGTCTAGAGTTCGACCCTAGAGTTCACATTTTTAAGGTGGATAAAACCTAACCCCAAATACTAACATTACATTGCTCGAGTATAAACACCAACACTTAATTAAAATATACCTTGAGCAGTGCGGCATGACGAAGACGAGTGATCAAAACATAAGGTCAATTCACATTTTCACTTATTCACATATAAACCAGTCTACAGAAACGCAGACTGGCTCTGATACCAAACTGTAACGCCCCAAAGATTTTTAAAGACAACTGCAGATTTATCCAAAAATCTTGCTTTAAAATTTCGAAAACAATATACCGATTTTATAAGGCGCTACTCGAGAACATTTCAAAGTTAGACACATAACCAGCATAAAGGAAATGAGAATATTCAACATGATTCAACCTGATATAAATAATCCATAAGGTTCAACCGTTTAACCAATCCCATAGACAATAGGGAAAATGACCATGTCTAACAGTCTCAACATAAAATCAAGAGTGCGGAAGCAATAAAAGCAAAATAACATTTGACCACCCACTCGTCTTCAATCTCGTCATGTCCAACACGTGCTTATCCTGCCTCAATGAAGAGCAGGTGGGGATGAGCACAAATATTAAACGAGGTGCTCACCACTATGCATAATATATTGGTAAGAAACCTATACTAGAGTCATATGCAAGTACATGGCGAAAAGACATAACAAACTAGTCTCCTACTCATCACTATACTCATGTGCACACCTATCATAAGCCGCCAGGGGTAAGCCCAAACTCGTCAGCGGGAGTACAGTCGTGCCGAAGTGCAAAAACAACGGTCACGGCCCATCAACTAGGCTAAAATGAGTCAACCCACCACAAGGTTGGAGATCGCTCACCACTAGGCACCGTCTCATGACTCACACATACATTCATAGACATAAAGTATAAAAATCTTACCTCAATTTTAACATAGCAAATTTTAGATTAAAACCCACCTGGAAATCGGGGTAGAGTATCACACAAAAGCAAGTTCGTAGGTCGAGGGCTCGACTCCTCAAACACCTACATTTAAGCGAGATAATATATAAATAATCTATCTCACTGCTCGAATTTAATACAAAACCCATACTTAATAAAAATTAAGGCTTAAGGGTCATAATCGGATTTTTCGTGGACTTGGAACTCTCTAATTTTGAAAAAATATGACTTGGAGAAGTAAATCGGGGTCTCGGAACTTAAAATATTTTTTCCTAAAATTATTATTTTTAAAAGTATTTTCAAAATTGAAATCGGTACGAAAAACGGCTCCTAGAACTCAAAATAGGCTAAAAACAGCAATTGGGCCGAACTGCTAATATGTTGGCCCAAAAATTTTCCAAACAGTTGGGCCTCATGTGCATGATGGGCCGAATATATAAGCCAATTTGGGCTGGAACAAAGCCTGTTACCAGGCTTCAATTTCGCGGGCCGAACGCTGGGCTTGGACCGGGTTTCGCGGGCCTGGAGCTGCTGACTCCAAACGGGCTGCGCGCGGGCTGAAATCGGGCCGAAAGCCCGCGCGCCTGAGGCTGCTTACAATAAATAAAAAAAAAGGTTCCAGCGCAAGCGTTGAGGTTGGAATTCGCGACCTCTCCCATACAATGGCGGGTTGACAACCACTGCGCCACTCGCTACTCGTGCGACTTAAATCGCAAATTGTACAAAATGAATATTAACACAGACCCTTTTAAAACTGAACTAAAGATGCAATATGAAAGCTTACAAGCAGATCAACAAAACTTCATTTTCATGTTTCACAGCGAAATTTTTAGCAGAAAATTTGAACTAAAGATGCAATATGAAAGCTTACAAGCAGATCAACGAAACTTCATTTTCATGTTTCACATCGAAATTTTTAGCTGAAAATTTGAACTTGACGACAACACTATCAACAGCAACCGGGTTGAGAATATAAAACGTCTACGAAAACAGCACATTTACAAGTTTTGAAAATCGTTTAAAGCCGGTTTAAATGGTCGAGAGTCGAAACGACAATACGTGGTTTTAAAACAAACGAACGGACAACACAATGTACGGTAAAATTTGAAATAGCAAAACGAGACTCCAAAACCAACCTAATAAACACAGCAGCACAACACAATCCTTTAATGAATTCGAGAGTTCCATTCCTACGACTAACATCCGAAACGTAATACGACGAACAACACGAACCGTATAAATATACGATAATCGAATCAACAATCAATTAATCCCGGCAACAAACAGAGTTCGAAATACGAACGAGAGTCCATTAATCCACCCAAAATCCACAATTAAAATCACAACGAGTAAATGTTCTGAATATAGATAGATTGTCCAACGGAACTCGAATCGACGAACGCTAACCAACGATCAATCACAATACGCAACAATAAACAAAAGAAGGTTCAACTGATACCTTTTTTCGGGAATATACGAGTTTGGTTGGAAAATCGGACGAGACGACGGGAACCAACGGAAGGACAGTCCTACACCTCGAAAGCCCAGAACCCATCGAATACGCTGCTGCTCGTGAATGGTTGCCGCGGGACCTCTTCTCGACAAACGATTCGACGAAGGCGGTCGACGGCGGCTCGAGCTCCTCGGCTATGGCGGACAATTTTT